GCCTTTCTTGACACAATGGTGGGAAAACAGGTGATAAACTAATTCCTCATGTAAAGTAATAATAATTTGATGTGTTACCCTTTAAGGGAATTTTGACAAGGTAAGCCTAAAGAGGCAATGTCATAATCTAAAGACAAACTCCTAAATGGTGTCATTCTAGGCCCCATGGCAGATGGGTGGGAAAGACGTGTGACACGGGGGCTGCTTAGAGCATACTGTGCCATAGCTGCCTCCTCCCACTCTCCCTGAGGTCCCTGGACACATGAAACACATGGCACTCTGTTCTGCAACACTTGGCATGAGGAACAATGTCCATGAAATCGGTTGATTTAGAACAATTCAGTTTTTCAACGCATCCATGGGCTAGGGAAGGGCTCATGAAAACAATTGCAGTCCAAAGCCAAGCCAACTAGGAATGAAACCAGCATTCAGGTAGAAATGCCCGCCCCAGTCAAAGGAAGCAGTGAGGCAGCTACACTACTCCAGGGGAAAGTATGGTGAGCTTGGAAGGGGAGAGAATGAGGTGAAAACCAAGGCAAGAGTTTTCTCAATGATCACTTAAAGGCAGCTGAAGGGGGGCTCCTGGGACAAGATGTTAAAATAAAACTATTTTAGTTTTCATTTTGGCTGAGGCTGCAAGACAATAGACACCCCATACCAGAGTGAAGGGTTCCAATCTTGCAGAAAGAGATGGTGGGAAGCCAGTTCTGCACCTATAGATGACAGCCCACGTCTAATCTACAAAATAAATTGTAGGGATTGCAAAGCAGGTTGAATAGAAGATGAATTATGGAGAGAACTGTCCAGTGGGCTCCCAGGAGTTTCAATGTGGCCATGTGAAGAGCTTGCTTTCTGCCTCTGGAACTTGCGAGACACAATGGGTCCCTGTTTGGTTCCCATGAGAAATCTAAAAGTCTAGCTGCTCTGATGGTAGAGCAAAGGAGAGGTGCCTGCAGAGACCTGCCTGCACGCCCACAGTTGGTTTGAGTAGAGAATGTGTGTTTCTCAGGGGCTGGATGGAGCCATCAGAAGAGAGGTCTGAAGTAAGACCTTATATCCTTTCCACAGGACTGTCTCGGGGCACACAGGGGCCTCAACAGAGAGCAGTTAGAGATTTACTCACAGGTACCTGAGGCTATGGAAGGAGCTGTAAGTAAGCAGCCAGAGAGGAGTTACATTTGTCCATGTGAGAGATGGTGGAATCACCGAAAGACCCTTGTAAAAGCCCACAGGATGAAGGATCAGCTTTAAACACCTGCCAAAATCAGGGAGCATGATGCCAACTCACAGCAAGATTAGCCAAGTAAAAGCTCTCCTATTCTTGCCTCTCCTTCAAAATCATGAGCTAGATATGAGAGAGGGGCAAAAACACAAGGCTGGGCAGAGGGCGCAGGGAAGCCAACCAAACCCTCCTTTACTGCTGTAGGCAACTGGCAAGGCAGGCCTCCGCTGGGAATGGGGAGTAGTTATATCTTTGAGTGAAATTTAAAGTTTGATGATCACACTGACCTGGACATATTAATTATTGGCTAGAGAATGTTTTGTTACCTGAAAGGAGCCAGAAGAGTCACAAGATTTGTCCTAAATGTATTCATGGACAGGAAAGAAATGGTCCCACAGGATACATTTAAAGGACAATGGGAGACATGGATTATGTGGCTTTATCATTATGTCCCATGGGTCATTGGTTGTTCAATGAAACAATGATTCAAGAGTTTGAGAAGTGAAATTAGACAATTCTGCTCTTCTCATTGCAAGATTCACTAGAAGATATATTAGCTTTAGAATGTTTCAGAGTGAACTAAGTTTTACAGGAGAGCCAGATCCATACTGTCAGAACCAGAAGGAACAGTAGACATGAGCAACTCCAAGCCCTCATTTGGGAAACTGAGGCCCAGCCCTAGCGGGTTTGGCTCAGTGGGTAGAGCTTCGGCCTTCGGACTGAAGGGTCCCAGATTCGATGGGTTGCTCCCCAGTAGGGGGCATGTAGGAGGCAGCCAATCAGTGATCTCTCTCATCATTGATGTTTCTCTCTCTCCCTCTCCCTTCCTCTTTAAAGGCAATAAAAATATATTTAAAAAATAAAAGAAACTGAGGCCCAGAGACATCACGAAAAACAGGAAATATACAGCATCTGCTCACAAAAGCCAAATTTAATTAGTTACCTTTCTTTGTAAAGGCAGAATTTCCCTGCTTTCAGAGAGATTAAAGTAAAACTGTAGACAATGTTTTGACAGTATTTAAAAAAAAATCTATGCTAAGACTTTGTTGACCCCAAATAGCCAAAGAAATATTGATAATGAAGAACAAAGTTGGAGGTATCACACTACCTGGTATCAAAGTATACTTCAAGGCTATAGTAATCAAAACAGCATGGTACTGGCGTTAAAACAGACACAAAGATCAATGGAACAGAATAGAGAGCCCAGAAATAAACCTATGCCTATTTGGTCAATTAATCTATGACAAAGAAGGCAAGAATATACAATGGGGTAAAGACAGTTTCTTCAATAAATGGTATTGGAAAAACTAGACAGATAGATGCAAAAAAATTGAAACTAGACCACTTTCATATACCAGCTACAAAAATAAACTCACAGTAAATTAAAAATTTAAATGTGAGACCTGAAATCATAAAACTCCTAGAAGAAAACACAGGCAGTAAACTCTTTGACATCACTCTTAGCAATATTTTTTTGTTATGTCTCCTTGGGCAAAGGAAACAAAAGAAAAATAAACAAATGGGATTACACCAAACTAAAAGTTTTTGCACATCAAAGGAAACCATCAACAAAATGAAAAGACAATGTACTGAATGGGAGAATATATTTGCCAATGATAAATCCAATAAGGGGTAAATATCCAAAATATATAAGGAACTCATACAACTTAAGCCCCCCTCCTATCCCCCCCCCCAATAATCCAATTAAAAATGGGCAGATGACCTGCATAGACATTTCTCCAAACTGAACATACAGCTGGCCAACATACATACGAAAAGATGCTCAACATCACTAATCATCAGAAAGATGTGAATTAAAACCACAATAAGATATTACCTCCCACTTGTCAGAAGGGCTAAATCAACAAACAACAAGTGCTGGCGAGGATGTGGAGTGCACTGCTGGTGGGAATGCAGATTGGAGCAGCCACCAAATCTGGAAAAACAGTATGCATGTTTCTCCAAAAATTGAAAGTAGAACTACCATATGACCCAGCTATCCACTTCTGGGTATATATCTGAATACATCTAAAACACTGATTTGAAAAGATACATGCACCCCTATGTTCATAGCAGCATGATTTACAGTAGCCAAGATATGAAAACAACCTAAATGTACATCAATAGATGAATGAAGATGTGGTACATATATACTGATACAATGGAATATTACTCAGCCATAAAAAAAGAAATGAAATCTTACCATTTGCAACAACATGGACAAACCTAGAGGATATTATGCTAAGTAAAGTAAGTCAGACAGAGAAAGACAAATGCCATATGATTTCACTTATATGTGGGACCTAAAAAAGAAAATAAATGAACAGACAAAACAGAAACAAATTCACAGATACAGAGAACAAATTAATGATCTATATGAGAGGAGGTTTTGGGAATGAGTGAAAAAGATGGAGGGATGAAAAAGTACAAATTGCCAATTATAAGAATAATCACTGAGCCGTAAAGTACAGCATAGGGAATATAGTCAATACTATTGTAATAACTACGTATGGTGTCAGATGGGTACTAGACTTAGCGGGGTGATCACTTCGTAAGGTATATAAATGTCTAATCACTATGTCATACACCTGAAACTAATGTAATACTGTATATCAATTGTGATTGAAAATTAATTTAAAAAAGAGAAATGTGTTTAAAAATATAAGACAAAAAAATCTAAATTTATCCTTTTCTGCTCTCTTCCTAGGCTTACGATATAGCCACTCTTATTATAAAGATCCTTTTGTTGAATGTTCTAAGGCTATCTGTGAGTACCTACAGTTGTATCAGTTTTTCATTATTCATAATGGCCACTCAATACCACAACAACTTTGCTAAACTTGTGTATTTGTCTTATCCCAAGAAAGGGTCTTGGAACAGAAGAGGGTTTAGCAAATGTTTGCAGAATGACATAATAATTAGATTCCAGTGTCACTATTTATGTGTTCTTTATATGTCAACAGCACTGCTTCTGAAGAAAGGAGAAAGACAACTCTTCTGTTCATCCTTGGGAACCTGGATGCATATTTAATTATTTGCAAATCCATAACTCAGGGATGCTAAGTAGAGAAGGAGCACTTCCTGTTGATGTCTAGTCCCTTGGGCAGACACATCATGGCAAGTTTGCCCATGTGGCCTTATGCCCTTCCCACTGGGAATGGCCACTTTCCCATGCTGAGCTATTCTGGGGCTGGTGGTACCAAAGGCACTCAGCCCCTGGGTCACTTTCCATTCTGTGATGAAAAAGAAACATTAACTCTCACTGGAAGACATATTTGGTTTATGGTCTGGTCAAATTCTTGCAATGATAGACACTCGGGCACACCTTTTATTGACATTGGTAGGCATCTGAGGTCTCCAGGCAGGACCAATGTAATTGATTCTTAGCCCTAATATTTTCAGGATTTCTTATTTCCTTAGTTTCTTGGTTTTTCAACTACTCAACAATGATGAATAAATGCCCATGAGTCTTAATTAGAGGAGTGTGAAGAAAATCACTCTTTATATGCAATGCGGTCTCTTAAACTCTAATAGGCCTAGAAGCTATAATGGAGTGACCTCTTCCCACTGCAGCCAGGATGCGGACCATCTAGGTACCCTTGGTCCTGACTGGCCCTGATTACTCCCAGGGCGTCCAGAGAAGCAGCCCTTGGGCCTCCAGCAGGAGAGCTCCGAGGAGTTGTGGCAGCTCCCTCAGCAGCAGCCTCATCTGGCCCGGGAGGGCGGGTACCCCCGGGACCACCTGCAGGCAAGCGGAAGACAGATGGACAAAGCCTACCTGTCTCCATCCTGCCTTCCTGGTTCTCCTGAGCTTCCTCGGAGGCACTGGAGCGCCTGGGGAAGGGCTGGTGGCTGAAGAGGTCATCGCACAGGAGGCTTCGGCACAGCTTGGCGAGGAAGCGGAGGACGTACGCGATGCTGTTCACCACAGGCAGGCTCCGCAGGTGCTGTTTCCCATCAAAGGACGCCGAGACTGGAGAACCAGACAGCAGCTCAGAGCCGGGCACGGAGAAAGCCACACACCTCCGGCCTGGGGCAGAGGGTTTTGTTGGCTCGGTTTTGTTTCCAGCTAGCCTATGCTTGGATTCCGCCTGTCTGCTTAGTTTCGTTTGTTTTTCACGAATGTCCTGTTTCTGTTCCAGGAGGTCATCCAGGAGACCACATTGGGGGTAGTTGTGGTGCCTCCTTAGACTCCTCTGGTTTGTGACTAGTTCTCAGCTTTTCCTTGTTTTCCACAACCTTGATAGTTTTTAAGCGTACTGGTCAGATATTTTGCAAAATGTCCCTCAATTTGGGTTTGTCTAATTTTGCCTCATTATTTGACTGGGGTGATGAGTTTTGGGGAGGAAGACCACAGAGGTGAAGTGCCTTCCTCATTGCAACAGGTTAGGTGTACATGACATCACTGGGGTTTAACCTTCACCTGGCCACCACAGTGTTTGCTACACTTCTCTACTATGCTCCCCAATTTCTTATTGCCTTACAAATAAGTCACAAGGTCCTGCCCACTCCAGGGTAGGTGAGGGATTAAGCTCTACCTTCTGGAAGGGGAGAGTCTCTGTAGCATTTGTAATCCTTCTAGAAGGAAAAAGTCTCTTCTCCTCCATTTATGTATGTATGTATGTATGTATGTATGTATGTATTTGTTTGTTTGTTTGTTCAATCATTTATTATTACCAGTACAGACTCATTGTATTTATTTTGTACTGTGGTTATCTAATACTATGTTATTTACTTTGTTGATCAAATTGTTCAAGCTTTTAGGATGAATCCTGTGTCCCTATGACATGCCCTCATTTTTTAGCAACTCTTTAGTTACTGTTACTTCAATATGTCCCAGGTTCATCTTGTCTTTCTCTGACCCAGCCCTAAAATCAGCCGTTTCTTCAGTAGCCCTGGTTCTGTTTACTGAAGACTGATATTTAGAAACCACAGTTTAGGCATTGATGGTGATTGGAAACTCAGCAAGGCTAAGCTTTTGGGAGATATAAGAGGTGATCAGAGCTAGTTTTTATTTCAAAACTAAAAATAAACAAAATACCCATTTTAATTAGAAATCAAAATAATCCATTTCTTTTGTGTAGCTCTTTATGTGTGACAGGAGCTTTCATATCCATGATCTCCTTTAGGCCTCCTGACTGTCCTGCGAGGAAGCCCCGTGTTACAGATGAGGACACTGCGGATGGCCTGGTTTCCCAGCTCCTGTGGCCTCTAAGTGGGCTTGCCTGTCATGTTAATGCTCCAGGTGACCCTGATTAAGAGAGACAGACAAGGAGCTCCCAAGATGCTCACCAAGGGGTCATCTTGGCCATTCAGATGCCCTAGCAATTCCTTCCTAGGGTGGGTATTGCTGCCTGCCTCCAATACCATAGAAGACTGGGTGTGTTGGAAACTGAACACACAGTGGGAGGGCCTGGAGCATCGGGTCTGTCCCATAAATCAGTGTGCACACTTTCCTGGAGGAGCCTGGGAGATCACATAAGTGGGAAAATTCTACCTCCTGGAGGAGGACATGGATTTGTGAGATCAAAAAGTCTAGCCCTGTGGGAGAGGGCTGTAAGGCGGAGCATCCCAGCAGGTGTGCAAGGAGTGGGTGTGGGGCACAGCAGGACTGCTCCCCGAGGCCCAGCAGTTTGGTTCCTTTGGCCCATTGTGCCAGCACCAGTGTCACCATTCTTTATGTATTCTGCCATGAGAATATTTGGAAAGCAGTGCCCCGAGGACCAAGTTCTTGTTGGAGTATGTGTGTGTGTGTGTGTGTGGGGGGGGGGGTTCGGGAGGTGGGGGGTCTGGCTATTTCTCCTGAGTCCTTCCCTAAACCACCTCAGTGCTGTCACTTAGCCTTGCTGAGTTTCCAAGCACCATCAGTAACATGAAAGGCCACCTTGCCACTTCTTGGCCTCAATGTGATGTACAAGGAGTGCCCTCAGTGCCACTGCATTCTCCAAGACACTAAGACCAAGTGCTCAGCTCTGGCCTTCCTGGGAATCTTTCAGCCAAGGGAAACTTGGCAAGGCTCTGCCCACACTCACGTTGGTGCCAGGCAGTACCAAAGCTCCTCCCCAGCACCAAGGCCCCTGAGGCCACAGAAAGGCTGAGCAAGAAAGCAGGGAAAATGGGGTCAGCTCTCCCAGGTTTGGGGGAAGGAGCCATAAAGAATCAGCCAGGTGGGATTTGCTCAAGAAGGTGGGCACACAGTACAGGAGGGGCTTTCTCTTAGCACCTATATGTTGAGCCCCGCTATTTAGCGGGGAAAAGGACAAGGCCTTTGATCTCAGATTGCAGCCCAGGACAGAACCTGGCTCTCAGACAGAAGCTAGGAGGAGAACAGCCAAGAAGCTCTTGGAAGGCCTCACAACAGGTCTCTCCTCCTGGCCTCTCTTGGTGCAGTACTCCTATCTCTGCTCACATCTGCTAAAGTCTCTTAAAAGTCACCCTGGGTCAGACACATGCGCTTGGACCTAGCCAAGCTCTATTTTAATCCACTACCAGCAAGTCAGAGGAAGCTCTAGAAGGCGGGCTGAAACAGTCAGAGCTGGGGAGGCTGTTGGACACCCTGCCCAGCCCAAGCCCTAGGGATCTGGAGTTACCGACACAGACAATAGGGTGGTGAAGGCCCAGGGCAGGGGGTGGGGGCAGGCCAGAAAGGGGGGCGGGGGGAGACATATGTAATACTTTCAACAATAAAGATTAAATAAATAAATAAATAAAACGTGCTGCATTGATTCTTCAGGATGGAGCCACATTGGAGTCTTCTTTCCCCCGTTCTTAGCCAGCCAGCAGGGTCACCTGCACCGACCCGTTGCTGGGAATCTTATTCCTTTTCCTTGCTGATATGGAGGCTGTGCCCATGATGTTGGGCCAGAGAAAACACCAAGCTATCCCCTTAGAGTCAAGACATCTCCAGGGCTTAAGGACAGGTGGTGACAACCACCATGTAGACAGCCTCCAGTAAGACATCTAAAGGGGGCAGAGCTCCTGATTCCACCTCTCACTTGTGGTGACAACTTCTGCTCCTTCTGGAAGCTGTTGGGTTGGGGCTGAAACTGGAGATGGGCAATGAGAGTGAGAGAAAGGATTGACTTTGAAGGCTCTTGTTTAAAAAAATGCCCTGGGAGATGGAGTTGGCCTGCATGGTGATCAGTGCCATGAAAAAAGGACGCAGAATAGAGAGTGACAGGGGCTGATATTTTAGACAAGCTGGTCAGGAAGGAGCTCTTTAATAAGGAGGCATTCGAGTAAAAAACTGAAGGAAGTTCAGGAGCAAGTCACATGGACAGCTGGGGAAGAACATTCCAGAAAGAGAACAGGAGGTGCAAAGACCCTGGGGCACGAGCATGGCTAGAGGGCACGAGAAGACAGCAAGGAGGAAGCTGTGGCCAGGGCAGGGTGGGGGACTTGGGAGAAGTGACCAGGAGATCCAAGAGGTGGCCAGGACCAGGTCACATAGGGCCTGTAGGCCCTTGTAAGGACGTGGGCTTTTTCTCAGAGTGAAATGGGAGCCATTGAGGGTTTAGGGCAGAGTACGGGCGTGATCTGGCTTATATTTTTAAAGAACCAGAGTGGTTGCTGTGGGTGGTGAAAGGGGCTGGATTCCAGATGTATTTTAGTTAGAGCAATAGGACTTACTGAAGGGTTGGAGGTGGGGGTGGGAGAAAGAGGAGTCAGGGGTGAGGTTTCAGATGTCCGGTCTTCTTGTCCAAGTGTGGGAGCATCTTCTCCTTGAGTTCTGTAGGAGGCCTTCAGCACACAGGCTCATGAAGGGCTCTGGAGCCCAACAGATAGAGACCAGACCCTAGCCACAACCACTATCCCCCTAGGGCAGTGATGGCGAACCTTTTGAGCTCGGCATGTCAGCATTTTGAAAAGCCCTAACTTAACTCTGGTGCCGTGTCACATATAGAAATTTTTTTATATTTGCAACCATAGTAAAATAAAGATGTATATTTTTGATATTTATTTTATATATTTAAATGCCATTTAACAAAGAAACATCAACCAAAAAAATGAGTTCGCATGTCACCTCTGACACGCGTGTCATAGGTTCGCCATCACTGCCTTAGGGCCTAGGCAGAGCATGGCTGCTTTCGTCTTCAGAGATACCCATGGCCCTCCTCATAAACCTGCCCCAGAGCCTTACCCGAGACCATCTCACCACCATAGCCCTGCTTGACCAGGGAGAAGACCAGCTTCTGCTGGTGGGCACAGTCGATGCATGCTTGCACGGCCTGCTGCAGGACCGCCGACGGCCTCTCGGGCCCGAAGTGCTCGGGGAGCTGCTGCACCTTCCTCCTCTCCAGGTAGGGCCCAGCGTTGGCCTGCTTGTTGATGTAGAGGCAGACTGTGGAAACAGACCCACAAGCCCTCAGCACCAGTGCACATCAGCCAGGGAGCTGCTCCCATCTGCCCCTTGGCCCTGGCCTTGGAAAGCTGAAAAGGGGCAAAAGTGGGAGTGATTCTTCCTACTTAGTAAGTAAAAGAGACGAAGAAACCAGTTGCCCCAACTGCCAGGGCTTGTTCCCAAGAGGGCCTCCTGGTTGGGGACAGATGGACAGGTGGGACCCCCTGTGATGTACTCAGATCTGACAGATACGGAGGGAGGCCCGTGTGGACAGCGTGTATAAGTGCATTTTCGTGCTGGGCATGTACCAGACAGAATCTTCCCTTCTTCTCCAAGGGAGCTGTCAAGCTTCACATACTGTCTGCCACTTTTGATGAATAAAAACATCAATATCATGTTGATTGCTCCAAAAACTATGTATTCAACTGCTGAAAAGAGTACTATTTACAATTTCAGGGACAATAATCCCTCAGCCACTATTTAGGTGAGCACAATGAATGGTTTTCCACAGATCTAAAGTAAAAATAGTTTGAGCACATGCCCCAAAATGTATCTATTTATTTATAGGGCATATACAGTCTTGTCTGTATTAATGTATTGTTTACATTTTAAAACATAACCAAGAAAAATAAATTTTTAAAGGATGAGATAAAAATATATATTAATAATAGGTATCATATTTTTCTTCTGTACATCGACTCTCCTCTTCTGACTCCTCCCCCTGCCCTTCCCCTTCCCCAGCCCTACCCCAGAGCATGAGCACCTTGCCTTGGGGGACACTAATGCAAAGGAGAGTTGAAGAGAGGGACTTTAAGAGGACACCAACAGGGTTACTGAACAGTAATAACAATTGTGAAGAAAACTGGTTTTCATTGACTGCTTATTATATTCCAAGCACTTTATATATTTTATCTTGTTTCATTTTTAAGACAAGCTGGGAATTAGGTGTTATTCCTCCTTTACGGCTGAACAAACTGAGGCTTCACATGGTTAGAGGGATTAATGTTTGTAATTAGTGGAGTGACAGGGATTTGGACCCGAGCCTTTCTGAGGTCAAAGCCTATGCCCTTTTCAATCTACCAGGCTGCCTTCTCTCCTACTCATCTTAGGTGATTAAGTAAATCTACACTAATAAAAGAGAAACATGGTAATTGGCATACGACCGCTACCCTTCCCATTGGCTTCTCAGCGAGATATGCAAATTAACTGTCAGCCAAGATGGCGGCCAGCAGCCAAGCAGCTTGAAACTAACATGAGACTTGCTTGCTTCAGTGACGGAGGAAACCAACGTTCCCCGCCTGCGGCTGCAGGCCTCTAAGCCTGCAGTTTAAGAAACTATGTAACAAATACCGCCGGACTTCAGCCAGCAGGATCGCAACATTGTATGCAAAGGCCAGAAACCTACTTTCAGCCACGGAGGCCTAAGAGCTGGAGCCAAGCCTCAAGCTAAAGCTGGCCCAGAATAAAAAAATAAAAAAAAAGGAAAAAAGGAGCGGTTGGGAGCTTCAGTCACCCCCAGCCTGAAAACAGCCCTCAGCCCCTCACCCAGACTGGCCAGGCACCCCAGTGGGGACCCCCACCCTGAAGGGTGTGTGACCAGCTGCAAACAGCCATCATCCCCTCATCCAGGCTGGCCAGGCACCCCAGTGGGGACCCCCACGCTGATCCAGGACACCCTTCAGGGCAAACCAGCCGGCCCCCACCCGTGCACCAGGCCTCTATGCTATATAGTAAAAGGGCAATATGCCTCCCAGCACCGGGATCAGCGGAGCCGCGAGGCCTCCTGGCACTGGGATCAGCGTGACAGGTGGCAGCACCCAAACCCCCTGATCGGCCCTGCTCTGTGTGTGACAGGGTGCAGCACCCCAACTCCCCCCCCCCCCGGGCCCTGCTCTGTGTGTGATGGGGTAGAGCCATAACCTCCCCATCGGCCCTGCCCTGAGTGTGAGAGTGGCGGCACCCCAACCCCCTGATCGGCCCTGCTCTGTGGGTGATAGAGGGCGGTGCCCCAACCCACTGATCCGCCCTGCTCTGTGTATGACGGGGGAAGGTGCCCCAACTCCCCTATCGGCCCTACTCTGTGAGTGACAGAGGGGAGCTCCCCAACCCCCTGATGGGCCCTGCTCTGTGTGTGACGGGGGGAGCTCCCCAACCCCCTGATCGACCCTGCTCTGTGAATGACAGGGTACGGAGCCCCAACCCCCCTAATGGGCCCTGCTGTGTGCGTGACGGGGGCAGCGCCCCAACCCCCTGATTAGCCCTGCTCTGTGCGTGACAGGGGGTGGCGCCGCAACCTCCCCATCGACCCTGCCTTGAGTGTGACAGGGGGCGGTGCCCCAACCCCCCAATTGGCCCTACCCTGAGCATGACTGAGGGTGGCATCACAACCTCCCAATCCACCCTGCTCTGTGCATGACAGGGGGCAGCGCCCCAGCTCCCCAATTGGCCCTGCTCTGAGCCCGACCAGGGGCTGCACCTAGGGATTAAGCCTGCCCTCTGCCACCTGGGAGCAGGCCTAAGCCAGCAGGTCATTATCTCCCGAGGGGTCCCAGACTGCGAGAGAGCACAGGCCGGGCTGAGGGACCCCCCTCCCCACCCCCCCCCGAGTGCACAAATTTTTGTGCACCAGGCCTCTAGTGTAATTAATAAGAACCTTCATGCCAGACACCATGCTAGGCCTTACAGAGAAAATGGTGACCCAAACCGATGAGATCCCTGGCTTCACAGGGCTCAGTGGGGAGGCAGGCTTCTCAGAGAGTCACAGGGCTGATGTGGGACTGGGGCTGTGAGAAACACTGGTGCTAGGAGAGCCCTGAGAGAAGCCTTCGGCACATAGGCTCATGAAGGGCCCTGGAGGCCTACAGATGGAGCATAGACCCTGGCCACCACCACGGTCCCAGGCCTGAGACTCCCTGAGGACCCTGGCAAGAAGCCCATGAAGGAGGCAGGTGTGCCTGAGCTGAGATACAAGGGAGACATAGGATGACCAGAGGGAAGACCATCCCAGGTGGAGAGAAGGAACTGTGCTAAGATCCTGTGGTGGGCCCCAGGGACTAAGGAGAGCAGTGGGCTGGGTCACAGAGGGAGGAACTTACAGGGCCTTTTGGCCACAAATGGGAGGAGAAGGAAGGAATTTAGGTGGAAAGGGAGAGGGCAGTGCAGTGGGGTTGTGATGAGGAGGGACCGTGTGTGTGTGTGTGTGTGTGTGTGTGTGTGTGTGTGTGTGTTTGACACAATCTGATTGCTGCTATTCTTACCACGGAACTGTTGGTTGGTGAATGTCCCATGAGAGACACCGGGGTGAGTGCCACCCTGACTGAATTGGAGGGAGCCAGGTGGAATTAAAGACTAGGATCCTTGGGAGATCTGGAAGTGCAAATAGGGGTGGAAACTCTTCAAGGTGCGCAGGCTCACTATTGGTGCAAAGTAAACCTGGCTCTGGAAAGAAAAATCTAAGCCACCAACTACTCTTTCCAGTCCCACCTCAAGGCAACCAGGTGAACCCAAGATACACTGAAAACCAAGTTTCAAATAATCCAAACTATGAGACATTTAAATGCATTTTCTCAGAGATTCTGGTTATGCTATCTGCTGTCTAGCTAACAGACTAAATCCTTTATTTGAGCTATGTCCGTGACAGCTCTCTAATTCATGAAGTAACTGTTAAGTGACGGACAGGCCATCACAGCCTTGGAGTTCATTCTCCTGACCCACCTGTGAGCGCCTGAGGGACTCCCAGGCTGGGGATGGTGGCTGCGTCCTGAGGGATGGAGCTGAGGTCGGGCTCTGGTGTACTCCGTGGAGGTGAGAGGGCCAACGGAGTCAGGAGAACCGGAGACTTGAGCTGCAAGAGAGAGCCCATTTGGTCAATGGAAATCTGGAATGCTCTCTACACCCTACCAGAATATTTCCTGGGTGGCAGCTACACAACTTGGGTAATCAAGAAGACTTCAGACTGTGAATTTAGTTAAAAAAATCACTCAATCTGACAGTGCTCCTCTCCCCTCCATGCCCCACCCCCCCACCCCCCTTACCTGGAAAAGTAAATATAAATCATCTCTGGAGAAAGGTCTCACCCCCCACCCCCGCCTCCCCCAATCAATGAATAGCACAATCCAAAATATCCAAACACACAAGGAAGCAAGGAACCAAAATAAGAATAAGCAATAAAAACACGTAGCAAAAAACTCACCAATAGTTTAAAATTTTCAATTATCAGACTTATATAACAAAAGCAACTGTGATACAATGTATAAAGATATAAAGGACAAACTTAAAAATATCTCTGGAGAACAGAAAACTGTAAAAAATAGCATTGCAAATTTGAAAAAGAACCAAATTTAACTCCTATAAATGAAAAATACAATAACTAAAATTAAAAGCTAAATGGACAGATTTAATGCATATGAAACATAGCTGAGGAGAGAATTGGTCAGCTGGAAGATACACTGAAAAATCAGAGAAATTATCCAAAAAGCAGCATAAAGACAAATACATAAAAACTATGGAGGAGAGGTTAAAAGACATGGCAAATGTAAAAAGTTGTAACAAATGGAATATCTTCAATGTGCTGCAAGAAATAATGGACAACCTAGAAGTCTACACCCAGAAAAAATATTTTTTTCCAAAAATGAAAATGAAATAGAGATACTACCAGATAACAAAGCCAGAGAATCCATCCCTAGAAGACCTGTTTAAAGGGACTTCTCAAAGATTCACTTCAGGCAAATGGAAAGTGACCTGAGGTAGAAGGTCCGATAAGCAAAAAACTAATTTTAAAAATTTAAGTGGCAAATACACAAGTGGATTTAAATGAAAATGACTATGTAAAAATAATTATGTCTTGAGGGATTATAAAAGCAAAAGAGAATTAAAATGTGTGACAACAACAGTACATAAGTGGGAAGATAAATGGGGTGAAAATGTCCTAAGGTCTCTGTATTATCTAGGAAGAAGTAAGAGAAAGGTTCACTTTATAAAACCGTAGTAAGTCAGCATGCTGCACTTTCTAAAGCAACCAATAATGCAATAGAAAACAGAGTGCTTAACTTTCAATGAGTAGGGACAAATTAAACTTAAAAAAAATATGAAAGAAGACAGAAAAGACGGGTAAAAGAAACATAGAATGAGTGGGACACACACAAAATAAGATATAGAGTTAAACCCAAACTTACCAGTAATTTCTTTAAGCATAAATGGACTAAACGCCTAGTTAAAAGACAAAGACTGTTTATCATACTGGATGCTGTGGGTTGAACTGTGTCCCCCGAAAGATGTTGAGGTCCTAACACCAGTACCTGTGAGTGTGCTCTTATTTGGAAAGGGAGTGGCTACAATATGATCAAGTTGAGCTGAGGCCATTAAAGTGGGCCCTAATCAATACGACTTATTCTTATTAAAAGGGAAATACAGACCCTGAGACAGACACATACGGAGGAAAGACAATGGGAAGACACAGGGAGAACACCATCTGTGGAGCCAAGGAACACCTGAGGCCACCTTTATATCTTTATAGGAATAAAGATATAAAGGACAAACTTGAAAATGTCTCTGGAGAACAGAAAAATGTAAAAAAAATAGCATTGCAAATTTGAAAAAGAACCAAATTTAACTTCTATAAATGAAAAATACAATAACTAAAATTAAAAGCTAAATGGACAGATTTAATGCAGATGAAACATAGCTGAGGAGAGAATTGGTCAGCTGGAAGAAGTAAGAGAAAGGTTAACTTTATAAAAATCGTAGTAAGTAAGAACTCCTGAGGGATGGAGCTGAGGTCGGGCTCTGGTGAAAGGCTGAGAAAGGCTGGGGACGATTCTCCCTCATAGGCTTCAGAAAGAACCAACCCAGCCAATGCCTGGGTCTCAGATTTCTAGCCTCCAGAACTGTGAAACAATAAATTTCTATGGTCCGAGACAATAGAGCAACCCAATTTGTTCTTTTATTGTTACAGCAGCCCTAGCAAGCTAATATACCAGATTTTTTTTTTTAAATCATGTTCTCCCTCCCTTCTTTCCCCTCCCCATGCTTATTTGATAAGGACATAATTGTCTCTGTCCCTGCCTATAGTTTTCCTTGGGGGTTCCTCCTTTAGGCTTACTCTTTCTTCATACCCCCTATCTCTGGGCAGGGTTCTGAGGAAGTGCTGTAGGGAGCAGAGTTCGGGGAAATTGAATACCTCACAGTGTCTAACCTCAGATTTTGGTCTAAAAACCTACCTGTTGAAAATGCAAATCAGCTCCCATAACAAGAAATTTGTAGCCAAGAACTTAATTCCATTCCTAGGAGTCAGCTTGCTTTGGGGCCGACTCATACCTTTTCCTCCCTGCATTTGGGGGAGAGGTTAAATACCAAAGGAAGGAGGAGCCAGTATCCTTTGGCCTTGAGACCTGCTTGGGCAACATGTCAGTCAAATCTAATAACCTAATTGAGAAGCATTTGCACTAAAGCTTCCCTAGGAAAACATATTATCCCAATATACTGCTTGCATCACAATGAAGACAGAAGGGGATGCTTGGATGTGGGAAGGGAATGGCCCAGTGTCCTTATGCCTTTCAGAGGTGCACATGGGGTGAGTAGAGGGTGTGAAAGCTGGAGCTTTTCCCCACCGACACTGCACTGGGTTCAGATTCTCCTCTGGGCCCTGAATGGCACTGAAACTGCTGAGGTACAGCAGGGGTGAAGGGGGAGGGAGGGAGGACGGGGTGCTGCTGCTCTACCTGAGGTGGGCGGGGAGGAATGGTTGCATTTCCTCCTGACAGAGGGAAGCCAAATGAGGAGACAATGAAGTCAGTGCTCCATGGGTATGCAGAGAAAGATGGAAGAAAAAGGGATAAAAAGACTCCATCACTGGATAAAGTGGAATTCAAAACACCAGATCTGTCTGAGAGAATTATTTGGTGGTATCCTGTCCACTGTGTCCTGTGACCCCAACAATCTTCAGTAGAGACAACATATTTCAAGGAATGCTTGGTGTGACTGGGTTTCTTACAGAAACTGGTGAGGGGCCACGTTCTGTGTATCAGCAGGCATGGGTCAAAGCAGCCGCCCTGCAGATGAAGAGGGGACAGGGGACATCCAGCTACAGGCATCGTGCACAGCAGAACTCCGAGCAGGGGGAGCTGGAGCCAGCTTATATGGGTCCACAGAGATGACTGTTAGATTTTCAGTCATCTTGCAAGTTGAATTTTAAATACAGCCATTATTTAAAATGACTGAATATATGTACTTAGAGTATTAATTAAAGTATATTAAAGACAAAGATAATAGATACTCAAAACTCATCATTTTCCAATTATTCTACATTTGCATCTGCATGGAAATACAGATGCAAGGGTGGGTTGCTGCACATCTTTTCCCAAAACCATGTTCAGAGACATCACACTGGTGACTTGAAATTGGCCATCTTGGGAATATTTAGACCTTGGAAATTGGTAAATGCTACAAATTAGGACTGGAATTATTATTTTACTGATTGATAGATTTAAGAAAATGTTAAAAACCCAAGTTAAACTTAAAAGTGTGTCTTGTCTGTAGCTGTTACACTGTAAATAGGACAAGATATTGAAATATTTTGTGAGTTCAAAACTATATTATCCAATTCAGCAAAGAACTCACATCCTTGACAGATGAAAGAAGTTCCAACATACAACTTCACTGTTTACGTTTGTCTTACTCCTTAACATCTGTGAAAATATCAGCGAACATTCACACGGGAGCTACACTCAGAATGCTAGAATCATCTGCCAGCATACCACTGCCCCTGACCTATGGCTGAGCCCAATACTGACCCCCGCTCCAGCCCCGAGTTGGGGACTGGGGGGGCTACAGAAGTCCAAGGAGAGAGTCCCTGCCATCGGTGCTGCACACCGTCCAGCCAGAGGCAATGGCCCCTGCCTTGTGCCTGTGTAATCATTCTCCACCATGAACCACAGGTGGCACTCCATACCAACTATCAGCAAGAGGGGGGCCTTAAAAATAGGCAACAGAAATTATTAAATATCAATTCTTCCCTTGTCTACTATTAAGCTGCATTTAGTGCTCATATATATGATTTTAAAGCATATAAGATCTGTATAATCAAAGAAGCGTTGAAGCCAATTCAACATTTCTAGTGAAAACACATTTTAGAAAGATGCTTCAAAGAAGTATTGAAACAAACAAAACCCTGTCTTCTTAAATTTGAACATTCTCCTAATTGAGATTTTTGTGAATTTGACTTCTTATTACTCAGTGCTAAGAGTATATACTTTGGGGTGCAAGGGGAGATGACAATAAGAAAAGGGAAACAAAACAAAATGTTGAGTTTACCCATAGTCATTAAAAAATTACTTTCTTTAAAAGTAAAATTTCCAGTAAACAGAAGACTGTCCTTTAAGTACTTAGTTAGCCAAGGCTGCTGATTATTCGCAAATATCCATGCTCCCTATTCCTTTAATAATGGAACCCCTGAATTTTAGCTCATCATCTGGTCACCCAGAACTACATTTTCCCATCTTCCTTGGAGCTAAATAAGGCTAAGTAACTAAGTCTGGACAGCTAACTTTGAGGTCTGGGCCCTTAAAGGGGAAAGACATGCTTTCACTAGCTCTGTCCTGGATGAGTGGGATAGTAGGAACTGGAGGAGCCATTTAAGAGCATGAAGCAGGGACTTTTGTTAAGATGGCAGAGCAACAATATAGAAGGAGCCTGGGTCCCTAATACCATCAAGTCATTGCATCAGTACCAGATGGCCTTCCCAGACTTTAACATGAGAAAGAAATTATTAGCTCCTATTGTCTTTAAGCCACCATTACAGCAGCTGACTTTGTATCCTGAATAATATAACTGCCAACACTTAAGAACATTTTAACCATTTGTTTTTAATATTTTAGGAATGAAATTCTTTCTAGAACATGTTACACTTTTCTAACTCATTAAACAGAGCAGACAGAACATAATTTACTTATTTTTAATCAGAAAGCATAATTACTAATCTGAATAATAATACAAAGAGATAGTGAAGAGGTAGAGGGCTGCTAGCCTGACAGTAAGTGGCCTCAGGTTCTGGGGGTTGGTTGATTCATGCCTAATTCCTGCAGTTTTTCTAACTCCCCTTACTATCAAACCACCAAGGATCAAATAAGAAAATACACATAAAGTGCTTTGGCTAGTGCTGGGGTCCAACCCCAGCAGGTCCAGGGGTCCCCAAAGGTGTGGACGGAGTCGGCGAAGAAGGAATGACACGGAGACAGCGTTCAGTTGATCAGCAGCCTAGCCAGGATCTCCAGCCAAGTTCTGGTCTGGATCTCCAGAGAGGTTCTGCTTAGGATCTCCAGCCAGGTTCTCCAGGTTCTCCAGCCAGGTTCTGTAGCCATGTTCCCTCGCTAGGTTCTCCAGCCAGGTTCAGTCACCAGGTTCTAGTCAGGTTCTCTTGTCATGTTCTATCCAGGTTCTTCAGCCAGGTTCTCTCGCTAGGTTCTGTCTCTAGGTTCTGTGGCCAGTTTCTGTCCAGGATCTTTTGCCATGTTCTCTCCAGCGAAGTTCTTCTGTCTCTAGGTTCTATGTAGGTTCTGTGTCTAGGTTCTGTGTCTAGGTTCTGTGTCTAGGTTCTGTGTAGGTTCTGTCTTCTAAGTTCTGTCTTCTAAGTTCTGTGTTGTTACATCTGTATTTATACCAGTTGATTCCAATCCTATCAATCTCTATTCCAAAGGTTAGGGCGTTTCTTATCTCCATTCCAGGGAGTAAAGATTATGTAGCTTAAGCATGATTGTTCGTAGTTAAAGTGATTAATTACCCGCCTGGCACTTAGTTAAGAGGTTTTATTCCCTCCCTAACTTCAGGGGAAAATCCCTACCTGGGGAAACAACCTTTCTCAGAGACCTTGGTTAAAACACATAGTGCCAAGAAGGTGAGCAAACATATTAAGAACAGTATGCCAATGTATGCCAGGTCCCTTGAAACAGCAAGCTTGGACCGGCTCCCGGCAGGCTAGAACCACAAACATAGAAGTGCTCAACAAATGTTACATATCATTGCTATTAGTATTCATTATTATTATTATGTATTGGAGACAGATGGCTATTTTAAAAGTCCAGTACTTTTTTTCTGCTTAAGTCAGAATTCCAATCATAAAGACACAGAAATGGAAAATTCTGCTACGTGGAGACATGGAGTCATCTGGGTCTACAGAATGGAAGCTAGGGCTTCTCCTTGGTGCAGACCCTCTCTCTTTATCTCCTAAAAAAGACTTAGATGGTTTTTTTTAGTCATAGAGTCTACCTGTTGACCTTGGGGAGTCTCTGAACAAAGGACCTAAATCAATAGCAGATGCTGCAAATGAGATGTAAAATAACTTTTTGCATGGTAGTCAGGTTACAGCTCTTCAGAGAAAATTAATGTTAAGAGGTGTTTGCTTCCTTTGACTTGGATGAGAAGGGGACAGTAAAGCCATAATGATCCTCTCACAGCAGCGAGCTTGTCCCAGCAACATGGCTGTCAGCCAGGGCGAAGAGAGAGGTGGCCAGATGGGCCCTGGGAGGAGCCATGACCTATGACTTCTGGAGCACTGACAGCCAGTTGAACTTTCCCTTTCCTGCCCATAATTCACTCATGTTATTCTCAAGACTCAGAGAAGGGGTTAAATGTCACCACCTGGATTATTGGTCTTAAAGGAGAAGCTTGCTCCCTACTTGGACCAGAGAGAGTTTCCACATGTGCAGGAGCACATGACTGACAGAGCAGCTTGGGATAGCACCAGGCACGAAGTGACAGACAGCAAGCAGCACAGACCTGTGATACAGTCAGCACCGCCAGCTGTTCTCAGAACTCCTGGGGGCGAGTCTGCTGAGCCTGCCCTGCCGAAGGCTCCAACACTTCTTATTATGATAATATTGGTAGTATAAATATGTCATAATGTTATTACTGGTATGACAAAATTATGTTATTTATTATTTTATAATGGTAATATTATTGCATACTTTATTGTTCTATATTATTAACACATTATCATAGAATTATGATGATAATTATTATTATCCCCTCGGTGTCCAGCTGTGTGTGTAGTCTTCTCCCCCCAAATATCATCCTTTCAAATCTAAGGCTATTAATAAACTGCTATAATTGAGCTTGTAAGAAATGTGTCTACAGTAAAGTAAACAAATTCAGGGAGGGCTCGAAAGCATGTTCTTAGTAATAAAATACGAGAACTTTAAGAGTAGACCAAGTAATATCTTATTTTGCTTGCTCAGCATTTTTTAGCAACTTCTGGCTCTGCAACTGTTGTCCCAGATTGTTAAAATTGCCAAATTAGTGATTATTTGGTAAATGTAATGAAACCGTATAGTTTCCTTGCTAGCTTCTCCACAATTAAAACCTTTTTGTTAATAGTAAAGGGGGCTTCAGGGTCTAAGAAACCGTCAACATAAAACTGGAGAGACTTAATAGTTTGCCAACTTTATTTCGCCAAATAGGACCTTTTTAAAATTAGCAAGTCCTGACAACATACAACACTTAATAAAATAAAATACACTTTAACACCAAAATAGTAGGAAGCAGGTATGTCAGAGTAAAGGATAATCCTTTAAGTGGAATCATTTTGGCTTTATGAGCCTTTCAGATGGTTCTTATTTTTCCCAGGTCATGAGTGGGTCAGAACTTCATGCAGACGGGCACCTGGTTTGGAGCCATTCTTCTCTGACGCCTGGGGAGCTGTCTGGGAGGCTGCTGGCCTGAAGTAATTCCCACCCGTTTCCCCAAGTATATGGGAGGTGGACTCAAGGAAGAGGTGTGGCCTGTTGTCCCCAAAGCAAAACGCTATGAGGCATGGCCGTGAGACCTGCCTGCTTAGTGCAGGGCCTGTAGCGCCTACTTAGCATCCCCAACGCTTTCTTCCTGCCCTGAGGTGTCTCTGAGTGTTAGGAGCACTGAAAACTGCCCTTTTTAGGAGACAGGAAAATTGCAAAGTCGGGTTCATTCCATGGAATGAATTTCCATTTTTCCTGGCTCCAGAAATGCTGTGTCTGTCAGTAATTTTCATTCTTGGGTCACAGCTCCCAGGGGAGTAGGAGAAAGGCCAAACAGAAGAGAAAAGTTTTCAGTGTGTTTCTTCTTCGGCTCCTGGATTTGCTCCCTGGCTCTATGAACAGAAAGGCTGCCTGGTCCAGCCTTCCAGATGCAATTCCCAGTTTCGGGCCACTGTGCCGGTAGCTGAGCGGGAGACCTGCCCCGGGCCAGCTTCAGAGACACAGTTCTGAAGCTGCGGTGCCCATGAGAAAAAGGGGGCTCCCTTCATTAGAAAAATAATCAGTGACAGGCCTGGCTGGTTTGGCTTAGTGGACCGGCCTGTAGACTGAAGGGTCCTGGGTTCAATTCCGGTCAAGGGCACATGCCTGGGTTGTGGGCTTGATCCCCAGTTGGAGGCGTGCAGGAGGCAGTCAATCAATGATTCTCTCTCATCATTGATGCTTCTGTCTCTCTCTCCCTCTCCCTTCCTCTCTGAAATTAATAAAAACATATTTTAAAAAATAACCAGTGACAAAAGACTTTACCTAAAAACTTTTCTTAAAACCAACAACCCCCAAATAACTTTGAGTCACTTCCCCCCCCACCTACCGTTTTTCGTTTCCAGCAATTGGAAGAACTGCAGAGAACCAAAAGGATAAAGGCTGAATTCATAACCAGCTCTTCCGAAGCGTCGTCTTTCTGCTGACCTGAAATAATTTCCATACATTTCCCTAAATCTATGGGAGTTAATTGCCAATTTGCATTTTGGTTTGAGCATTCAGATCTCAAGATGGAAACTTAAGCTCTTTATTTCAAGACAAGTGAACGAAGGGAAACTTCTGAAGCTCGTTTTCTGATGCCCAAAGGCTTGCGGGGCATCGCTCGTCTTTCCTCTCCAGTGGCGTCTGCAAACATATCTTAGAGGAGCAGCTCATCCGCGGGGCTGGGTTGCTTTCTGTGACTGCAGTTACGGTGGAGAATTTACCCTCCACCCCCAGCCTCTCCAAATCTTAATTTGTAAAAGGGTCACAGGATTTTAACTTTGCCTGAGACACCTCCTTGGAGCCAAATGACGTCAATACCTTTTACAAGCAGGAAACCATGAGTTCACACCCAGCATTTTCAGGATGAGTCCCCTGACTGAGGCTCTAGCGGGGAAAACTCGTCTGTGTCCTTTGACACTAGCCTGCTCTCATGATTAGTGTAAGTGACTCGGGGACATCATCTGCTTCTACTAAAGTAAATGACGAGTGAGTTCTGGGAAGTGGTTTCCAGAGCCGCCCCAAAAGGCAGTCAGGGGAAAGCTCGGTGTCCGAAACATTAATTTAGATGTGAGGCTGCATAATGTGTCTTTAGCTCTGACCCTAAAGTGGTCTCGCCTTACAGCTTCCCCCATCTGGTGTGATTTGCTTTGTCCACTTGTGAAAATGCACATGACAGCAACAGCAAGCATCGTGTAACCACGGGGCACGTCCCTTACAGTTCCATTGACAGAAAGGCATTGATCCTGCCTTTACCCAGCTCCCCACCTTTCCTCACATTCCCCAGCAGAGCTCTGCCCACGCACCCGTGCCCCAGCCCGATAGCACTTTAGAGAAAGGGGGTGATGGAGCCATACCTTGTACCCAGGTTTCCGCCCTCTTTTCTTTGGGATCTTCACTGCCGGTAAAGAGCCAGCTGACGCAGAATAAAGGTTATGAACTGCCATCTTCACAGGCGTTGAGTGAAGTGGGGGTCGGCCTCGCTTTCTCCCAGGGGTCCTCTGAGACTGCATTTCTGCTGGTGCCAGTCTTGCAGAAGAAGTGACAAATCACTCACAGGCAGAAGAGGCGCTAAGAATCCTTCCAGACACAAAGCAAAACAGAAACAGAAGTGTTTGTTTGGTTTGCAAGGCAAACATGGATCCGGTTTGGTGATTTTGGCCATACCACCCCTTATTGGAGGGGAAGACCAAATACAGGAGAGAGCCAGGCACCACGAGAAGCTTTTATGGTGCTGTTGAGCTCCTGGTCTAATTTCAAGGATAGCACATTTCCATGGGTCTCTAGTGAAGCAGGAAAGGTACTGGCTAGGGGGTGAGGACAACAGAGTCCCAACGCCAAACACAATTGATAGCATTGCCAGCAACAAGACAAGTTTATCTATCCGTGTCTCAGTTTCCCCAGTTAGTTCAACTTTGAACTGATGTAATAATAGTACTAAATAGACATAATCATTCTCTCATATTCACTCCTATCCCTTTGGCTGGGTTATGAATTGTTACAACCTTTCCCCCACCCATGAATGAAATTTTAACAGTGAAAATCAATTGTGTTAAAAGTCAGTGATATCCCTCAATCCAATTGTGGGCAGAGATTTACATACAGAAATATTTATTTTAACCTGATTTGTAATTGCAAAAATAAAGTGGGCACAGCCCAAATAACAAACAATAGGGGAATAGTTGATTTATCTACAGAATAAAACAATAAACTAGTTAAAAGCCTTTAAAAATGCCCTTAATAATATGATGTTGAGTGAAAAAGCATCACATAAATTGCACATAAACATGACCTCAATTACACAAAAATGTATCTGGTGAAAAAGTAAAAGGAAACATGCTAAAATGTTACCAATGGCAAAGATGGCGGGACTCTGGGTAACTGTTCACCATGTGAAAATCCACTCTTCCAAGTGAATAGTACCACATACTATAATATTTTTAGAATTTAAAATGCCAACAATAAGCTTCTCAAGTACAGTTGGCCAAATCTTTCAACAAGAGCTTGTTGCTCATCCCCAACCCAGAGAACACAACCGATATCGTGAGCTCTGGGGTCAGAGTTCCTGGAATGTGGCAAACGAGATAGAGCTTTTGACTTTTACTCAGGAATGATGTCAGGTAATAAAATTAATTCCTGAGAATCAGAGGTACCTAACAGTGGAAATGAGAGGCTCTTGCTCAAAAGGCTGCAGACAGAGTTGGGAAAGATGATAGAAGCAGTCCCTACACCCTGTCTGGGCAGTATGCAGGGACCAGACTGAGTTTTTATGCTCTTGAGGTGGTGATGCACTCTCTAATTTTGGTGGAAAACTTAGGAAGTCTAAGTATGATGGAAAGATTGATAGACATGACTACATAGAACTCAAATGTCTTCATATAGTAAAAGTAAAATCATGAAAATTATTGAAAATAAATGAACATCTGAGGAATCTATTTGCTACATATGGGCCAACAAAAGGTTAATACAAAGAATTTCTTCAAATTATTAAAATGAAAATAAAACTCTGATTTAAAAACGTGAAAGAGAGAGGATAAACAGAAATAAATGGTCAATTATCACAAGAAAAGATTTTAAACTTTACTGGTAACCTCCCCAAAAAGTGAATTGATATCATTTGTGGCTCTCAGACTGATAAATGTGAATAACCCTGACAATACTCTATTGGTGAGGGGGGAGAGGAATAGACACTATTATTTACAGTTGGCAGGGGTAGAAATTAGCCAACGTTTCTGGAGGACAATTTGAAAACCTCTTTAAAACACACATGCACATTTCCTGATCCAGCTATATTATTCCTAAGGATTTCTCCTAAGAAGATAATCTGGGAAGAACACAAAGATATGTGGCCAAGGATATTTTTTGCACATTAATTATAATAGTGAAATACTGGATGCAAGCAAAATTTCTTTCCAAACAGTTTTAGTTTAGTAAACTATTTCACATTCATAAAATAGAATACTTTGTAATTTTAAGTATATATGCATGTATGCATACACTCAAGCATATATGAACACTGCAAAATAGTATATATAGTATGATTCTAGTCATATATTTTAATGTATATAGATATAGATATATCTGCATATGTTTAGGCATAGAAAGAAGTCTTCTCTGATATTTCTGGTGATAAAATCTTCTTTGCCTTTTTGTAACAATTTGGGGTGTTAAAGCAGTGACTAGGGGAGTTCCGTGGATCAAGAGCCAAAACCACTAGAAAACAAGAAAACAAAAAAGGCCGAATAAGTAGCACACATTTCCAATAGAAACTTCCATAGAATGGGAATTATTCACTCATTGTTAATTTTTTATACTATTTTTCTACCTATGGTTTAAAAAATGGTACCAAAAAGAAAGCAAAAACAGAGACAACCACCCTCCTTAATACCACCTCCTTCCAGGTGGGGTCAGGTGGCAACTGGATTACTGCCCTTCGCAAAGATTTCCCATCATCTCCAAAGACCTCAAATGCTCTCCAAAGACATCCTTAGCCATGGACACATAACTTGATACAACCAAGTATACAAATCATTTCAGAACTGTCATAGCCCTGGAGGTGGACATGAGACCTCTGAGTTTCTCTGCTTTCAGTTGTGCACTTGGAAGCCATCTTGGAGCAAAGAGCTTTAGCAAACATTAGAAGATTCTGCTCCTGGAACAGCCTAATCATCGAGTCTCTGGATCACCAAGTTTTGCCTCTATGAAGTTGTTAAATGATGACTTGACATATTAAATCAAGTGATTTGCAGCTGGTCTCCTAGGTCTCCCTTTTCTTATCAAAACAAAGCGTGGCTAGAAATATTATAACCAAAACTAAGAGAAACTAAGATCTGGTCTATGAATTTAGGGATGACATTTTACCTGTTCGTCTTGCCAATTTAATGCATGTAAATTAATGGTAGCTCTATCAAGGTCAAAAACAAGGACTGACCAAATCCAAAAGCACACATCAATGCCATGGAGTCACCTAGGAGTCAATCCTGAGGCATGTATTCATGTATCCACTCATTCATTCACTCATTCATTTATCAATTCATCCAACAAATATCTGTTGACTACACAGTGAGTGTAAAATACTGTGCTTAGACACTTGGATTACAGATGAGAATACATAAGGTACATCTACTAACGTATTCACCAACTATGAAGAAGCAGACAATTAGAGAGACAACAATAATATGTGAGATAGATAGTAGCACAGAGGTTTCATATGAAATGCTCTGAGAACACCATGGAGGAAAGAAATCAGTTGGGAGCAGTGGGGACAGGAAAGCACACAGAGGTGTCACCAGAGGCAGGATATTCCCAGGCCGACCAGAGCAAGCTAAGTGCACAGAGCTGGCAATGGAACAGGTAGGTGCAGGGGCATTTGGTGGTACATGGAGAAGGATGGGCCAGCCAGACAGGAAGCAGGATCACTGGCCTTCTGTTGTTTCTAAACGCATTAAGAGGTAGAAGTGACAAGGGTCTCTAGACTCCTAATGGACTCTAAAGTATTTCCTTCTGTGAACTGCATGGAATGGGTTTCTGACCTTGCTATAATGCTCTTTCTCACTGCCATTTCAAAGGGACAACAAAATCCTTTTTTCTCTCATTCTTGGGCACCATGTTAAATTCCCCACATGCCAGTGTCTCTGTTGTGATTCTTTTGACAGCAGCCTCATATACAACCTAACACCATGCTCCACAGGATGCTTAATTCTGTGTGGAAGGTGGTTTCCAGTGATAAGAATGCACCTTGGCATTTATCTAAAGTTCAAGCATTCTTCAAGGTGGCCCAAGCCCTCCTGCTTCTCCTCACACTCTCACTTCTCTCAACTCCTTCACCATCTATTGCTTGCACCACCAGTTTCAGCAAGCGCTGGTTAAATGATGGTTTATATCATTTTCTCATTGTTTCACCCACATAAATGATTTCTGTACATTCCTGGAGGCCATGAGCCATATTTCATATGTCACTTTGCTTTTCACAACACCTGGTGCAATATCGCACCCGCAGAGTGCACCTGGCACCTGTGGCAATACCATTCAACAGGGAGTCTTCCCGTCTCACCTGGGCTGACAGCCCACAGCTGGGCTCAGAGATATTTTCAATTCTGGGTATAAATACATCAATATAGATGAACACCTTGATGGTCAATGGAAACCTCATACCATAAGAAGAGGCACAGCAATATGTTCTGTTAAATTGAGGAAATACATTCTCTTAATACACATTTTTCCCAGTTCTGACACTAAAATTGGGCCAACAGAAGCAAAGCCAGCACTCATCTGTAGCTGGCTCCTACCTAGTGCTCACATGTTTCTCTCTGATGATTTAAGAATATCCAGGGTATCATGGACTGACAGTTGTCAGAGGGGAGGAGGTTGGGGACTGGGTGAGAAGGATGAAGGGATTAAGCAAAGAAAAAAGAAAGAAAGACTCATGTACGCAGACAGCAGTATGGTGGTTGCCAGAGGGAAGGGGGTGGGTAGCAGAAGAAGGTAAAGGGGGGACGAATGGTGATGGAAGGAGACTTGGCTTGGGGTGGTGGACACACAGAGAATGTACTATATACTTGAAACCTATATAATTTTATTAACCAATGTCACCCTAATAAATTTAATAAGAAAAAAAAAGAGTGTCAGGGGTAGTGTTAAGAGAACAAAGAAGCAAATTGTAACAATTTATGAATCAACAGCAACAACAACAATGGTAATACAGTGAGTTGAAGTAATTGTGAAAGGCTAAGAGACTCAGAAGACTATGGTAAGGTGCACAAAACTCTAGTTGTAATCATTTTCATGTAAAAGAAGGGTGAATAGAGTAAAATGTCAGTTATTTTTGCTGATTTTAATAAGTAGGGGAAAGCTTATCCGCAGGTATTTTGTCCTATTAAATCTCTACCTGTCTAAATTGACATGAACGAGTACAAAGAAATTGTAAATAAGCCAACTTCTCCTGGAAAAACGGGAATTGACTTGGGAACAAGAAGCCCCAGTTGTCCCAAACAATAACCAGGTAGCAAGTGGGTCCAATAGAACATTCAACAGTGCTGAGTCCGTCAGATGTCTTCAGAGGCGCTGTAAAG